AAAGGTGGAAAGCGATAAAATCAACTCTTTTCTTCTTCTTATTTTCCTACCATCTTTTTCATTATCTCTCTTTCTCTATCTCTTTCTGTTGTTGTTGTTTTTACTTCTTTTACGTCTATCTTCACTCAGTTCCCCCTTGAACCGTTTATTCCACAGCCAGTAGTGTTTGGACGCATGCGTTCTCACCAAAAAAAAAAAAATAAATAAAATAAAGGATGAATTATGTCAATAACTGCATTAACTATATATGAGCAAAGGCATACATGTGCGTATATGTAAGCGATAGAAAAAGAGAAAGAAAGGAAAAAAGGACCATGTATCTCCTTCTGGGTCCTGGTATCACTGCTGTCGCAGTCTCCTATGCGATGACCTCCGATCCGCTGCCCAAGACGCGTTTTGTGCCTTCTGAAGCATCAGGTAGTTCTGGTACGTCATGGGGTCACTGGCCTGCATCGCCCGTGTCCAACGACGATGGCGACCGAGACTGGTCTTGGATAAACTGGTGGGGTGAAACAGTTCATCAAACTTATCACTGTACGTCTACCTTTCCGCGTCATGAGAAAAAACCTTGTGACGCCAGAGATTGAGCCACACCCACTTACTTAGTCGGGTCTGGAAGACCGCAGTCTTCCCAGCGGCACTCCGTCGTGGCCTCGTCCCCGGAGAGGCCACAAGCGTGATGCCGGAAAAAAAAAAATTCGGCACCCACTTCATCCCGTCAAGTATCTGGTTCTCGTAGCAAGAAACCACAACCACATCCTGTTCGGACCGAATGCCGGAAAGATCCGCCGTGTCTCACTAACAAGCTTCCAGCATCAGTGTACCCAACAGAGTTCCCACGTGGCAGGCACAATAGTAAAGCGTAGTTGAAAACTCCACTACCTCCCCCAATTGAAGCATATTCTTCAACGGGAGAGTCCCTGAGGCAATGACGGACCGCTCTCGCTTCTTTGCAGTGACAAGAACGCCCAACATTGAAAATGTAACCGTTTGCAGTCTCAAAAACGTCAAGCTGCTGACAGTTGGTGTCACCACAGGCACTGCCGGACCCGACAACTTATATGCGTCACCCTCCTTGGACAAGACTGTAAGCAACGGACTGCTTTCAATCCAGTCGGCGGAGATGCGCAACTCTGGAAAGCCCACCTCAGGAATGCGACGATTCGAAAACGCCATAACCAAGTTGTCAAACACCAACTGTACGCGTGGAAACTCATCGCTAAACACGTTGAGATACGCCCGCTGGCAAAACACATCCGCAGATATGAAGGCATTTGGTGTCGCCAAGGCCCTAGATGCGGTGTACTGTTTGACGTCAAACCGGCACACGCTGGGACGAACGGCGTAGAAGATGCGAATTGGCTCTGTTGAGGTTAATATTGCGTTGCTGGGTGTGGCCTCCGCCATGCCCGACATGAGGTTTCCGGCCCTCACCTGTGCAAGAAGCATGTCCTCCTCCCTAAAATCAATGCCAAAGTTAAAGGCACCTAAAACGACAAAATAATCAAATCGTGCTCCAATATCAACAAAGGTGTCACCAAAGACAATGCTGCTCATCATCAAACGCATGGCAGCTGCACGCAATGAGACTGAGCAATTTATTGGCTTCGCATTCAACAAAACGATGCCTATGCTTACCTCGTTGATGCGCAGGGCACACCCCACTGAGGTGAAGGCACCTTTCGGGATATCATCCGTGAGAACTGGTGCTGTTTCCATCGCCTCAACGTGCGAAGTGCGGAGAATAAACGATCGCCGCACTATAATAATTATGGCATTGTTGGTCGTTTTCCGCTTCGATGAAACAGTTGTGTTTGCCAAAACGTAGTACAGCGATGATCCCAAATAGCCAAGAAAATACTGTGGCAAAGCACCGTTGCCAATGAAGGTATGTGGTACATCCATAACCCCGATAACGTACACCTCGTGAGAGCCTTGCGGCATAAAACTGCTAAGCACGGCAGCACTGCGAGGCAGCGGACGATCCTTCATCGAGAAGCAGCCGCACCACATATCCACAACCTCGTACGGCATTCGAGTCACCATAAACTTGAACTCACCTCTCACCTTCACCGAATTCGCGTTAGGGCGGTCAATTGTGGTGCCTTGAACATGCAGAATGATATCTTCCTCACTCTCCAAACAAAGCGACGGTGCCCACATAATTGAGTTGCAGCGCAGCGTCATGGCAACCTCGTAAAATCGCTGTCGTCGTTCAGTGGACATAAACTCCAATTCATACGGGTGCGATGCCTCAAAAAAATGAAGCTTTAACCGCTTGGAGTTGAAGAAATCCTTCTCCACTCGAAACAAATTTCTAGCCGGGTGGTGGAACGTCATATACCCAGTCATGTCCAAGTTTGCAAAGCGATGCCTAAAGAAATCAACCAACCATATGCGGTCTTTTCTACTGCTAATGAGTGTCGCATCACTTATTTTAACAACCTTAAATGGTTCAATTAAGTAGCGGTTGTTGTGAAGGGCATGAGAGGGAACCACCAGCGTCGTAGGCGCCGTAAACGACGCGATAGGGACACTCGTAGCCAACAGTGAAGATGCATTAGTAGACGTGGCAACATCAACCGCAGTAGAAGCATCCGTCAGCGTAGTTATGGCGGCGTTGGTTATAGTCTCTTGTGAAGCATATTTCCCCCGAATTTCATTTGTCGCACCCGGTGTGACTTCGTCTGCCACGGTAGTCGCTTCGTTCGGTGTGTTGGAAGTGGTTATCATCCCCTGGAAAACACCTACTGCCACCGCGTTGCGGTTCGCGTCGTTCGACACCTCAGAGGCCTCCTCGTGAGGATCAGGTTGCACATCCTCCACGATCTCGTGTGGCTCTTGGCCCGCGGCCGCAGTGTTCACTTCATTGATTTCGTACTCATTGTCGTCCAGCTGCATTTCGTCGGAAGGGGTCACCGCCGCCACCTCGTCAGGCTCCTTTTCATTGGTGATCGCCACCTCATCGACGGTGTTACCAAGGTCCAGCTCTAAGACAAGCTCCAGGTCGCTGTCGTCCAGCACAATAGACTCGTCCGGGTTCTCAAGAAGATCTGAGTCAACGCCGCCGCTGTCATAAGCATGGACGCCGTCCACGGCATCCGCTTCTTGTCCTGCATGCTCGTGTTCCTGGAACTCCACGTCGAACCCTACTAGCTCCTCCAGAGGCAAATCTTCGTCAATCGTCACATCACCGACAACCGTGGTCGACGACGACAGAGACGCCTCCTCGCCCACTTCTCGTTCAGTTACGTTGCCATGTGAGTCAAGAAAATATTGCTCCCGTTCCACACGCGGTGCCGCGGTGCTCTCCAGCTGCGTCTGTTCGTTCCAAACGGTCTCGAAGGCTTTCGCCAAGGCACGTACGGTGACTTTATCACCCTCTGCTAGCTGTGGCCGTACATTACCGAGATGATCCAGCTGCAGCAACGTGTCATCCGCGGCTCTAGTAGTTGTTGTGGCTGACTTCGCCTGTTTCGTGGTAGCAGTCGCATTTTGCACTGACTCCAGCACTGACACTTGCTCCAGCAGCTGTTCTACCTCTGCGTTGCCGCGTCCCCCCAGCCGCTTCTTCACCTCTTCAATACGCTGCAAAAGGCCTTGAATCTGTCGCTCCTTCTCTGCATTGTCGTGCCGTAGGTGCACGATTTCCCCCCGCTGCGCCTCCAACTGTTCCTCTAGCCGCTGCATCTCACTCTTGTGTTCCTCCATCAGGCGCCACGATTCCGCCAACTTTTCCTCCATTGTCATTTGCAGCTCCTTCTGAAAGGTCTCACTCGCTGCAAGCTGCTCCAAGAGACCACCCCTATCACTGTCGGATGCCCCCTGAAGCTGGCACTTGAGCTGCTCAATCTCCTTCTGAAGGGCGGCAATAACCTCATTGTTGTTGCTTTCGTTAACAACCGCCTTGTTCACAATCTTTTTTGCCCTTTCAGCATACCGAAGCGTACTCATCGTTTCCTCGTACTGAGCCGAGGAAGGGCTGATCGTTGCGAGCATAACTGTCTTGGAGTTTCCACCCAAATTATCCTTCAAAATCCACGTGAGAACAGAGTCCCGGTAGGGAATATGCCGCTGTCGCCCCAACTCCTGCTCCTCCGCAAGGCTGCTGATGACGTTCCCTAAACACATGAGTGACTTGTTGATGTTTGCCCCTTCTGTAAGGCGTTTCCCTTTCGCCATGGACTTCGACACCCTTTCGCTGCCCGCGAGGTCAACAAGGTTTAGCTTCGACGTCGTTGTTGTCACAAGCTGGCCCTTTGTCCGCCGCTGTGTCAGGGTGATCACAAAGACCGCGTGAGAGCGGCTGCTGAAAGCGTTCATCGCCGTTGCCTCTGAGGTACGGATCTTGTTGCCATCATTTAGCAGCCGCAGGAGTTCCTCTTCCGTGGTTACGAGAAGCTTCGTGAGTCCCTCAATGAAAGGCCCAAACTTTGGATGTTCCCGCACCCGCAGCGTGGAGTTGTCAATGTCCCCTGCAGTCGGGCAGAGTAAGCAGCGTACCCGCTCGTTGTAGATTTCAAAGAAGGAAATCTCCGCGCAGGACTCCACGCCACTACGGGCAATGTTGTCCATCTCCGTAAATAGGCTCGCCGCAACCCGAGGAATGACGCCCAAATCTGTCGGAGTCCCCATCATTGAGTACGTTTTACCGCTGCCTGTTTGACCGTACGCAAAGATGCAGCCGTTGTAGCCCGTCACCACATGGTTCATCAGCTCCGAGGCAACGGAGCTGTAAACGACGCTCTGCGACGCGTGTGTGTCAGTGTACCCCTCAAAAAATATCTGCGTGGACCAAAGCGCCACATCAAAAATAAAATTCCCACCGAAGCCCCCAAACGAATCCAGCACCGTCACCACATTTCCGTTCATGCGCACAATAACCGCCGCCTTATCGCTCCGCTCCATGAGACTGAGAGGCCTGCAACGAACGGCAACCTTCACAGACATCCTGCTGCCCCGCGTGTTTTCTGCTTTCTGGCTTGCCTCGTGTGTGTGTGTGTGTGTGTGTGTGAGTGAGCTGTACCGGATGCAGTTCCCACCAGCCAAACCTGCAGCCAAAAAAAAAAAAACAGTAAACACAAATAAAGAAAGGGGAGAAAAGCTGCTTGATGTGACAAAAACAACAAGAACAAAAAGTGGAGTCAGTGCCCACAACAATCATCGCATGACACACACACAAACGCTCACGCCCACACACACACAGGATGGGTAATAAGGAGCAGTTTGGTTCCCCGAGACTGAGGTATAGGAAGCGGCACCGCCCGCAATGTGCAAAAGAAAAAACGAAAATACTCTCCTTCAACCTTCCCCGTATGTTTGCTTTTATTTTATCATTCATCCGATGAGACCTCTATGCCATTACAGCTAACTACACTGTCGATGATGTCACTCATCGAGAGGAGACTGTCCCTCGTCAGCGACCCTGCTAGGCTCTGGAACAGGAGAAACTCCTGCAAGATGGCGACAATAAGCGTCATGGGCTTCGCCTCCACCTTCTTCAGTGCCGCCGTCCCTCGTGTCGCGTGGGCAACAGCCGTCATAACAGGAACACGTAGCTGCAGCTTGGGCGAATCGCAGAGGGAGAGGACGGCAAGCAGCAGAGCGTAGTAGCCAGCCAGGACGTGTTTCTCCGTACCCTCGGCATGATACGCACGAAATGTCAGAGCTGCAATGTGCGTCAAAAACGCGGCATCCTCGACAAGAAAACTGGTGAACTCGTCACCGTTCTCACGTGCCTCCCACTTGACAATGTTCGTGGTGAGGCAGAGCGTAAATGTGAGTGTGTCCGGCATCGCCTCGGCGTCCGTCAAGGTGTTCGCAGCCACAAACGCCAGGGCGCGGTTCTGCTGCGGGGACCCGCTCAGCACAGAGGGCACCAAACCCGTCACATTAGTCAACACACGCAGGGCAGCGTTTTTCTCCTCCCAGCGTGCCGTGCCCCTATCACCTCGCGTCTTAGTTTCAGTGGTGAAACGCACCAACGCGGCAGCCGCTATCCTCAGCTCGGAAGCGTAGGCCCCACGTAATCCCTCGCAGAGCGTCACTGCCTCCATCAAGTGAAGTGCGTCCGCACCCTCCTCTGTCTCAAGCAGGGCACAAACCGTCTTAAAACCCCCTAGATCCCCAAAGAGGAGGCAGGCACTGGGGGCGGAAGGGTAGGAAACACCCTTATTTTGCCTAAATACAATCTCCAGCAACACATGAAGAGCCAAAGCAGTGGAAGTAGTATCCTCCTCTGCCTTACAAAGCTCATTCACGCTTGTTTTGAGCTCCGCTAGGCTCGATGAACGTGCCGGCATGACTGCGGTTGGCCGAGCTCGGTGCGACCAGTGTAAGGGCTTCGTACTCTGTACAGGTGAGTTAGTGACCGCAGATGAGCGTCGTTGACAACACTGAAGGAGAAAGCTGACAAGTTCCTCCTCGTAAAGCACCTCCACGTCGCTTAATTTCACAAGAAGGGCAAGAAACCGCAGGAAAAGCTGCTGATACTCCTCTGTGAGTCCAGAGATGGAGACGCTGCAGAGCAGTCCAAACAGTTTTGCCTGCGTCCCTGAACGCTTCAGCGATAACATGACAAGTTCGGCGCCATGCTTTGAGAAGTGTTCGACGAGTGCGACTAAAGCTTCCGGAGTCCGTGCAAACGACGTGACCCGTGCTAGGTAGAGAGACATGTCTGCAAGGTCCTCCTCCGCTCGGCAGAAAAAACTCATTTCTGTTGCAAATGCGCTTTCCGTGCTTCTTTGGGAATCTGACGGATTGATGCTTCCACTTGGTGTCTTCAACACTCGCGAGGCAGAACTGCCGGTGTTTGTCAAACTCCAATTCCTGCTCTCGCTGCAGCTACGGCTACGGCTACGGCTGTAGCTGTATTGGCTACTGTTGCCCCGTTTTGTCTCCGCTGCTTCGCGAAGGCGCGTCAAGGACGCACCCCCCGCACTAGGCTCATCGAGGCGCCTGTGAGAGAAAATGTCTTCAATGAAGCAGGCAACATCAGAAACGGCGCGTTTGCGCTTCCCCATTGTTTTGCCGTTTGCTCTTTCCTTTTTGTGCAAAAAATAAAATAAAAAACACAAGCTGAAGTATTACAAAAATACGCTTCCCTCCCACACAGATGAGCCCAACAAACAGACAAAACAAGAAGGCGAAGGAGTCATTGAAAAAAAAGAAAAGGCATGAGCTTCACGTGAAGAAATGAGCATGATGATTTCCCTTCGCGTTGAAGCGCCCTACCCCTACCCAGGAGGAGGAGAGAGAGAGAGAGAGAGACCGGGGACGTGTGTTTAGGATCCGGTGCTCACAACGTACACCCACGCAGCACGCAGTCGTAAATATTATCGAGGCTCTCCTCGGTGAGGGCGCGCGCACCATTTGACGGGTTTCGCGCAATCTCACCACCGCAGCCCAGGATGATCTCCCGCGCCACGCCACGCACCTTCTGCGGAAGAGCACCCAAGTAAAAAGACATCCCCTGCATAATGGGAGTCTTGCAGGTGCGAAAAATAACTTTTCGAAGACTCACCGCGCTGTACGTGTGGGAGCCGTGACTCAGCGCCGGGACGTACTTCTCCAGCTGTGCCGTATCCCCATTTTCCAAAAAGTTTTCCGTAGCAACAGGAATGCCCCGTCCAACGGCGACAAGAAATTTTGGTGTTCTCGCCACCGGAGAGCCAACGACAAGCAACTCCGCGTCAATAACTTTGTCGGTAGTCTGCCACCCAAGTTTTTTTGCTAATTTTTGCGCGCGTGCCTTCTCCGTACCGTCCATGCCCGAGAAGCATACCCACTGCACACGACGCGGAGAGCAAGTCGACTTTACGGCGACTCCTGGCGAAGTTATGTCGTGCTGTGTTCTATGACGCTTTCTTCCCGGCGTGGACGATGTCTCAAGATGGGGCGGCAACCCCACTCCCTCATCTAAACGTTCGTCCGGCGCACACTCGTGGGAGCTCCCCAAGTCTGTTCCTTTCGCCCCCGTCTCAGCAGATTCGCTAGGTCGCTCCACAAGGCTGTGGATGGCGGCTGTCGTGGCGGCCCGCGTATCCGTCGAGGCGCATAAAATTTCACTATGCGTGCCGCTTAGGTTTGTGGGGTACGACGCATTCGACGACAATGGAGCAGAGAGCGGCGTGGCAACGCTCTTCAGCTCATACGCGTCGCCCGTTGTGGAGGCAACAGCCTCAAGGCACATCTCCACGTCACCCAAAATAACACGATTGCCCGGCTTCAGTTGATAAAAGCGCTGCGGCTCGAGGCGAATACCGTGGCCCGCGTTGACAGCCAAAAATGTCCCATTGGTGCTGTTGCAGTCTGTCACCCACACATCGCCGTTACCGGCCACCTCAATCACCGCCTGCACGCGGCTGATCGTGGCGAAGGGAGACTCCACATTCACAAACGACACGCCCTCGACCGCGGAAACGGCGGCGCTGCGACCAATGACGTTTTTCCCCGGACGCAGGAGCTCCCGTTTCCCACTCGCCGCGTCACGGAGGAAGTAGTGCGCCATCCCACACAATCCCCCGCACTATCCGTGACACAAATATTGCCCTCCCATCACAGGGAAAAAGTCACAACGAAACGAGCAAACAACAAACAAAAAAAAATAATAATAATAAGAACAAAAGACAAAAGGTATAAATAAATAAACGGGGAGTGAAGAGAAGACAGCAGAAAGCCCCAACAGAAAAATAAACACACAACAAGAAGCCGTCTCACGCTCAGAACAATCACCAGACGGCATCCATAGGAGTAGCAGCGGTGGAATTGATGGTGGCAGCAGCGGCGGTGTGGTGGTGATGCTGGTGGCCAAACGATACTGAATCATGCGTCACCCCCTCTGTCTCCTTTCAATTCCTTTCAGCAACCCATGCAAGGATTCATCCACGGTCGCATCGTACAGGATGAAAACAAAAAAAAAAAAGTAGCATCGCTATGCCGTCGTCAGGACATCCGCCGCATTTCTCTTCACCACGACACCAAAGTTACCTCCCTGGCCTACAATCGTGGTGGCGATATAGACGACATCGTCAAACGTCATGGAGAGACGTTTGACAGTTTCCTCAGGCTGCAGCAAAGTAGATATCTGCTGCACTATCGTATACGCCAGTTGTTGTTTCTCCTCATCCTCAAAGTCGCCGCTGCTCGTCATCACCTGGCCCAGGGAGGAGAAGATGACAAAATGGTTGACGCCCCGGTTAAGGAACTGGTCCTTCACCCAGCTGGCCTGGCTCATCAGCAAACACGCAAACAAACACACACACAACCTCACATAAATGAAAAGACAGAAAAAAAAAAGCCAACGACAATTAAACAACTAGTAAATCGGCGCATGTGCCCACAGCATGTACGCACGCCCCACATAGTGAGAAATTGAAAAGAAGTAGACAACCCCAAGCAAAAAGAAAGAAAAAAAAATCATACATTTTTTTTTGTTCTCTATCCTTGTCATCATTGCTACCACTGTAAGTGTAACCGTGCTTCTCTCTCTCTCTCTCTCCCTCCCTCCCCCATGACGTATAAGAAACGACAGGAATAAAAAGAAAGAGATGCATATCACACGCATACATGTTAACGGTAAGGGGGCATCAGTAGTGCTTCTTGGGGGGTCTTCTTCATTTTTGGTTTCTTTTGGAAGTGCGCATGCAGCTGCTCCTCAAAACTGAGGTCTTCCAGCACCATCGGCCTCGGCTTCCCGCGCCAGTGCGGCCACATAAAGTGCTGCTGTTCTGTTAACTCTTTGTGCCGCATCACGGCGTCGGGGTCCATATTTCCGTACCCCCAATTGGTCACGGGCACAAAAACGCGCTTCCCTGCCCCATGCGGAAACCGCATCAGGAGACTCTTTCTCCGTTCGTTTTATAAGACGCCGTTCTTGGTTCTCGAGGGGATTCACAACTCCCCACTCGTACTTTCGCTGGAGTTTGGAAGAAGTCGCAGTCGCTGCTTCGACACACACATGCGTGCCGTAGGAAATGCGGTCTAGTGTACTCGCCAGGTGCAGCTGAAGCGAGTGTCAGCCGCAGCTGCGGTTCTGGAGCCACTTTTCTCGCACCTCCACCAAAGTGTGCTGACGCGTGAGTGGGTCGCTGGCACTCCTTGTACAGAGCTAGCTTGACCACACGACTGTGTATATCTTTACCCTTCGCCAGTGGCAGCGTCTGCGACAGTTGCCTGTTCATATTTCCCTTGGCATGTCTCGTCTCTTCTCAAACCAGCAGCGGCAAGTCCAACAGAAGTAAGAGGTAAAAAAGAAAGAACGAAGGAAATACGGTCCTAATCAAGACACAGAATATATTGCAGCGCTGCAAATAAAAATAAAAAAGAAACAAGAAATGGCAAAAAATTGGAGAATATAAAAACAAAAAGAGCATATTCTATAGAAATAATCTATGGACCGCCGCTCATGCACATGTCACGAGGAGGCAGGCTTAAAATAAGCGAATAGTGTTTTAGGTTGTGAGCGTAGCTGTTTCTCTATCTTAGGCGGCCTGCTACGTTTTGCCGCCTCCACTGCCGTAAACTTCGCATTACCAGTGGGGGAAGAAGGACTACCCTGGTCAGCAAGCGTACTTTCACTGGGACTACCGCTCTGAGTGTCAGAACGAAGGCCGCGCATAATCTCACTGCTGCGCCTGTGAAACTCCTCCTGTGAAATAACTTCATTGGTCCCCTTATGGCGGAAGCACACCACATCTTTGCAGATGTATTCACCGTCCTTAATTACCATGTCGGTCTCCATCTCACGAACGTACTGCTTCTGGAAGTCGATGACCCCAGGCTGAAAAAACCCTGTCAGCTTCGCCTGAGTCGCAGAGCCCATGCTCTCCTGTTGCCACTGAGTGAGTTGTTTTTGTTGTTCCTTTTTTAACGCACCGGCGGCAGGCCCCGGAGCGCAAAAGACCATCGGCGGCGCATCGTCGCAGAGGATTATGCCATCGTTCTCCCGTGCAAAGACGGCGACATCAATAGCAGGGAGATCCTCATTCAAAAGCGCCTCATCACGGCGTACAAAACTCCCGCGCGAGCTGCTGCTGCTGCTGCTGCTGCTGCTGCTACGATCCACCGCCTCATCATCCTCGTCAAGGAGATTGTGCTGCATTGAGGCGCAGGCTGCTGCAGGTGTAGGCACACTTCTGTCTAAAGATCCATTGGAATCCTTCTTTTTCTTCGCTGACGCCTTAGCCAACTTCATGAGACTCTGGGTCCCTTCAGCGTTCCCATTTTTTCGGTTCGTAACGCGGGGCTTCTTTGGCTTTGCATCAGCCTGTCTTTTTGCGCCGTCTGCCGCTCGGGTGCGTTTGGCACCACTCAGTGGTGTTTTCAAAAACGATTCCAAACTCGTTAAATTTGGCTGCTGAGACTCGCGTGATGACTCCTGCGGTTGCTGCTTGGTCTCCACAATCTCATTGCCGACAGTCGCGGGTTTCGCCTGCGGTTGCGTCCCACATTCTGTCGGCCCCGCACTGCTCTTCAAAGATGCAGCTGCCGTCTCCAGCGACGTCTGCGTCTCGCCGCCGCCCTCAAGACGCGACGCCGCCTCTTCTCGCGTCACCACGCGGTACTCCCGCCGCATGACGGCATCGGAGGGTACCAACGAAGGCGTTGACCGCCACGGCGCAAACTTCACTGTATTGCCTTGCTTCTGCAGCGCGTAGACGTCGAAGCGGGCCTCGTCGAAAGACGCTTGCACTTTTTCTGCCTCATTGACACCATGGCAGAGGAGCACCCGCCGCGAGTCGCGACCGTCGTCAACCGTGACTGTGTACATCACCTCGTATCCCGCCTCAGTGAGGCGGATGGTCTCAAAGGCTGCCTGCACCTCCTCTCGTGGGAGGTGTGTCTCCGAGGCAAGAAGACGCGACGTCTCCCTCACGTGTTCCAACAGTTGTGGAGTTGACATGACGTCGATGGCGGCTTCTCCACGCAGAAGCAACAGGGGGAGGAGACAAGATTATATATATATATATATATATATATATATGTGCGTGTAAAGAAGAGAAAGGGAAAAAATAATAATTAATGAGGGAGTGAAGGGATAGATGTACATGGGAATTAATTCTGCTGAAAGGCCTGCAACAGGAGTTAGTCTTCAGTAAACGCAAAACAGGGACATACGTTTTGGATCGTTTCGCGTTTCTCTTTTTTTCTTCTACGTTTTCCTCATTTTTCTTTTTTTTTTTCCCGTTTACCACGATAGCCAAACTACAAGAAATAGGATGGCAGCGCATGCTGCAGGTCGTCACCTTCGTATTGTCGACTTACCTTCTCAAAGACAACGAACTCACGCGACTCATCCTCGTACACGCGAAGGACACTCGCAAAATTATTGCACCGATAGCAGTAGTTTGGCGCCGACCACACTGTACAGACAAACTCCTCATCAAAATGATATGTGAATCCCTTCTGGACGAGTTGGTGGGCTCGCGCCAAAAGATTCAGGCCGTTACGATACAAAAATTCACGGGAAACATTTGCCCCAAATAAGTGACCGGCACCTCGCTGCGAGACGCCCCAGCCATCGACGTTTCCGGGGTCCGACCAGACGAGGTCCGAGAAGGCACCTTCGTTCGGGACCTCTTGCCGCCGCTTCAGCAGGTGGATGTGATGGATGCTGTGTACCTCCGGTGAGAGGCCGCCGTGCACGCAGAGGCCCCTGCCTTCTAGCAGTGCCCCAATGGGCAGGCAGTCAAAGACGTCCGTGCAGTGCCGCCACACATCTGCCGTCTTAAACTTCTTGTAGCATTCGTCGTAGAAACCGTAGACGGTCGACACCTGACGCGTCTCGTGGTTGCCGCGGATGAGGGTAATCTTATCCGGGTACTTCACCTTCATCAGGAAAAGAAAGGTGACCACCTCCACGCTGTTGAACCCGCGGTCAACGAGGTCGCCTAGGAAAATGTAGTGCATGCTGGTTGTGCCAATCTCCCCTGCCAGAGCTAAAAGGTGCAGGAGATCCGGAAACTGTCCATGAATGTCGCCGCAAATAGTGGCAGGAAGCGGCACATTCGGAACGTTGCTTTCGTATAGAAAGAGGTTCATCACCGTATTCAGCAGCAGACGCATCTCGCCAAGCTCGAGTGTCTCCATCCGACGGACCTTCTCCTCGAGTGCATTCAAGTCCATAATCTGTGTCTATAAAAACGAGCGTCACTCTTCTCTTGTGACTGACGCCGTCACTAATGGGGAAAGGGAGGGAGGGGGGTGGGGTACCTGTAAAGCTGTGTGTACGTGGATAAGGCCAGAGTTTTCTCTGGTGAGTGAAGCTGGGGAATTGCAGCAAAGAGCAGAAACAAACCTTTTTTTCTCCACACGCATACACACGCAGGACCGTTGCCTGCCCTTCCCAATAAAAGAGGCGCCAAAAACCATTGCATTCGATATTCACACACACGTGTAATCAATACGGGTGCGTCAGTCTTTGCCCAGGCCATGTCGGCGTCGCTGCGCCCACCTATCACTAAGAGAGCGAAAAATTATTGCGCAGCCAAAAAAAAAATGAAGGTGAAGAACAAGTTAAAAAAAAAAAAACAACACCAACAACACTAAAGCTCAAACACACCTGTGTGAGTTGCAAACGTCCCATGCTCGGGAATAAAGGTATACATAGATAAATGTATCGCTTTCCCGTCTCCGTTCCAAAGCGTCGTGAAGACGTGTCACAAGGTGACTAATCAGGATTCACCACATCTGGCGTTTCATTGTCATTTCCCTCCTCGGGGATGTGCACTTCCCAGTATGCGGGGAGGCTAAACACCTCGGACGGCGCATAGCGCTCTAAGCAGCGTTCCACAATTCTCAAGAGTTTATCTAGACGCACCTGAACCTTCTTAAAAACGGAGAGGCTCGTCACACGAAATATGTGCAGCGACGTGTTTTGACGAATGTGCATCACAAGTGGGAACCGTGGGTGTGACGGTGTGGGTTCCCTGTAGCTGCGCAGGGACTCATAAGTCGACTGGCGGAAGCGGCAAACACGAATGCGGTCCATCTCCCCAAAGAAGGCGTTACCCTTTGGCTCCTGGTGCGAATACAAACTGCTACCGTGGTCGAGGAATGCATATTTGGCAGGCCCCAAAATGCGCCTCTCCATCGGAGGACGCTGGCAGGTCGTCTTGAAGCTGCATCCGCCGTAGACAAAGTTATTGTGATCGTTCATGCCGCGATCGGTGTTGCCAATCAAAAAGTCAAAAATAAAGCGATCCAGAATGTCACCAATGGCGCGAAGACGGGAACTCTTTGGGGGCCACAGTTTATGCCCAATCGTGTAGTACTTTGCCGCAAACGCGGCATCGTACTCATATGGAAGTGCCAAAAACGTGGACAGAGCTGGATGCACGTCGTGCATCCACAGTTGAATGGTCACGTAGGCACAGAGAGAGCTCTCGCCGAGAGGCACGCCGGAAAAGGTGCATGGAACAAAGTTTCGGGTGGTGTAATTGTACTGAAATACAAATCGCTCAATCCACTGCGAAAAAAGCGGCGAGTAGGCGGTAGCGGCCTTCATGTAACTAAGCGGCAGCGGCACAAAGACAGAAATGGGCACCCGCGAGAAGTTGAGGGCACGGTCGATGGAGAAGGCTAAGTACTCGCTCGTCGCCTCAAAGTAAAAATTCTGCTGCGACACCTTTACAATTGCCTCAATCTCATTGTGGGCGTAGCGCACACGGAACTTGATCGTACGGCCTTCGAAGAGACGCGACGACATGGCCTTGATGTAGCGCATGTTGTTCAGGTCAGAAAGATACGACTGACACAACGCATCGCGTTTCGGTGTGAATTCCGCATTCCGCTGGTCACACGCCTCCCACGCTTCGGTGTGGGCAACGTGGCTGGCGTCGTGCGGCAGCGGAATTCCTGGGCCCGGCAACTCAAGAATGTCAGTAAAGTCATCTGTTGGCTGATCCGGATTCCCCGCGAGCCCCTCCACAATCCGCAAATTCGCCTCAAACGTATGCAGAGCCTCCTCAAATTCTCGTGGAAGGCGGACGACGAGTGGGGGCGCGGCCCTAGGCTCCGTCCTTCTTTCTGACGTCGCAGACGTCCGTGGCGGCTGCCGAGCCACTGACGACGTTGGGCCGGGAGCGTCAATCGACACCACATCCGGCTGTCGTGGTGCAAACACGTGGACAAGGCAGTACTGGCCAAGCAGCAGCACCAGCAGCCACACCAGCAACGCCCCCATCGCCTTCCGCCTCCTCAACCACCTTGCCCGCGGATACGAACAGCGCATCATCTCCGCCCGCAGCAACGCCGCCTCCCCCCAACCCCGCTAACCCTCTCGCACACGCGAAAGCGCAGCAGACGCGGTGGCAAACCAACACCTCACAAAAAAGGGAAAAAATGTGCAAAGACGTAGCAAACAAAAGAAGCAGCAGAAGAGCCCGGTCAAAGTAGACCACACGCACACAAAGAATTAAGGCAAGAGGGAAAATAACGGTCAAGGACTTGTTTTTCTTCTTCCTTTCTCTGTTGATGTTATTCACTCGCCAGTGTCGTCTCTCTCCTCTTTAATGTGCGCCTCGCCCTTCACAGCCGCACTCACCGCAGGCTTTCTGCTCATCACGTCCTTCCTCGCGTAATCGCCGCGACAGGAGCCATCGTCGTCAATTTCGTCTCTCGCCTCCCGCAACTTTTCCAAGCGCCGCTTCTGCAGCACCTCTTCCCGTGCCTCAGTGAGCAGCACCCGCTCCACCTCCTTCACGTGCGCGTTGTACGCCTCTCGCTCGGTGGGTTCCGGCACAAACTCCTGTCGCCGCTTTTTGATGCCCCATCGCAGCATCTGCGACCGGCTCAGCCGCGGCGTCGTTTTACATGCGGCATCCGGGTTTTTTTTACACTCAAACGTCCAATGCTCCTTCGATGCACACTTCTGACACACCCGCGAGGTCACGGTCTGCCCCGTGACACCGCGCGGGTTGCTGTACTTCTTCGGAGGTCCCCTGTCCCCGTACATAGCTGCATAATCAAAACAAATGAAAACCACCAAAAGCAACATAATAATAATAATAAAATCGGCATTAGCATCGAACATGAGGCACCACTGAAGACGACGGATACTCGCTTCTCCCCCCCCCCCCCTCCCCTCCTCCCTCCTCCTCTCGGACGGGAAAAACAACCGCCTCACAGAAAAGATGTATAGTTGTGTGCGTGCGTGTTCCCGCAGTCAACATACAAAGAAAAAAAAAACAACCACACATCCAATAATAAACACAACCAACCAGAGACAAGCTATAACACTTTTCTCTCTCTCTCTCTCTTTCTCTCTCTCTCCTCTTGCCGTGTTTTATCGCTACTGTGGCTAATGCGCTTTGATTACATCAATGCAAGAGCTACGGCTCAAGCAAAAGGGAGACACCTGCCAAAATAAACGTCTTAACATCCGCCTCACTGGCACATGGCAGCATCAAGTCTATCAAAAATTTCTCCTTCGTTGCGTTCGTGTAAAGCGAGACGGCAATTGAAGCTTTTGACAGGGGTGGCTTTGACATCCATGCCACATAAACTTTCGGCATAGGGAAGAGTGCAGGTTCATCGGCCGTTTCGATTGGCTGCAGCACGTCGGAACTGTCAATAAAGGCCCCTTGCAGCAAAATCCCTTCCAAACAAACTGAAAGCGGTGCCCCTTCAGGCGGAGTAGAAAGTGCGGTAACAAGCTGCAGGGAGACAAGCGGTTCGTGGAGGGAATGGGCGGTTTCCTGTCGAAGTGCATGTAGGAAGGTTTGCGGTCGGAAGAAGCTTGAGATGTTGAGGTCTGATTTCAGTAGCTCCCGGTTCATCGCCATTGGCGCCACTGCACAATTGTAGTGGCGCGGCGAAGAAGAGACTGTAGCCATGGCAAAATGCGCGGGGAACCGTGAAAGTAACCATCCCAGTGTGATGGCACCTCTCCGGCGATCATGGCCGCGGCCTCAGCACGACGGTCCTCCTTCAGCAGCGCCGTACCTTCCGCCACCTTGCGTAGGTCGCCAATGGATTCATCCACCAAGGACACCAGACGCAGGGAGGAGGCCATTTCAGCCGTCAAAAACCCAACAATGGGCGTGGCCTCGGCCGGCTCCATTGCTGAAAGCGTCAAAAGATTGGAATGGGGCTGGGTCAATTCAGCCCATGCCTGCAGCACCGGCATCAGCTGGCTTGTCCACTCCTCTCGAGAGAAGGATGACGACGCCTTCATCTCATTGAGGTGCTGAAGATCGTCCGTCAACTGTCGCACCTTCGAAAGTTGCACAACACGATCGGCGTTTGGTGGAAGTGAAAAAAGGGACGGTACGTCACTTTCAGGAAGGCCTGAAATAGCTTGAACGTAGTCTACGTGATTTCCTGTTCCCGGCACCCGCAGCGTGGCAAAAAGACTTCGCTGCTGTTTCGCACCCGCAAGCACAGCAGGGTCAAAGAAGTGCCGGGTATACTCCTGCAGAATACGCAGGTCAAATTCACTCTCCATACGAGCACCATAGATGGCATTCTCCAAGATGCCTCGAATAGCCCTCCAGTCGATTTCCGCTTTTGTTTGCTGCAAAACAATGTCAGCAGCGGACTTGAGATCGGCGGGGGTCACTTCATACACCTTTGACCATCCCTGTGGGACGTAGGAGAGCCGCTCCTGCACAATGGCATGAAATGAAGCGGTAATAAAAAGAAGTTCCTTTTGATGGGTTTCCTTCAACTCCAAGGCGACACCCTCCCATTCTTTATAGGTGTGCAAGAGATTTTGTTGAACACCAGGCGGGGCCTCAAGGGTAATTTTGAGGCTCTGGGAAAGAAGTATGGAGGGAAATTCATCGTGTGATTCGCTTGTGAGAAACAGTCGAAAGCCCGGATCCGGGGTGAGCAGGTTAAACTCCTTCTGCAGCACTGACACCCATGGAATCACGAGGTGCAGATTCTTGAGGAACAGCCAATCGCCCTTCTCGGCGCAAACCCGAAGAAGCCGAATTGCCTCATCCGTCTGGCCACCACCCATCGCAATTTGATGAAACCGCTCACGCCCAACTTGATGGTAGGCAAGGTCTTGAAGACTTTGCGATGGATCAGCGCCCGCAGTTGTGATCAACAGTACGGGTGTACTCGCCTCCGTACGCCTAATAAAGGAGGCGAGTGTCCTGTTATCCCCCCATGACTTCACAGAAAGCAGCTTGCATGCAACTCTGCTCACAGCTGCAATTAGGCGATCACCACGAAGCGTCTTAACGACAAGAAGACGCTGAAATTGTGTCAGCTTCATAAGGAAGTCTGGGTACGCCGTCTCCGGCGTCGTCGACCGCATCCACTGCAGCCACACATCCGCCTCGTGGAGATTCATTTTAGGCACCAGATCACGGAAAAGTACAACAAAGGAGCGGAACAGGTCACGGCTGTCAGGAAGCACCCAACTGGGAATCTGAACCTCCTTCTTCTCCGCCTCAGGAGCAATTGCCCTGTCAAGAAAGAAATCCCACTCAGCAGGTGTGCACTCCTCTGGGTGTAAGGAGCGGGCGAGATAGATACCAAAAATTGGACGGTGCTCCTTAAGCAGGGAAATGGACACGGAGTAAACAACAAGACGAACAAACGTGGTCGTTAACGCCTTAATTTTGGTATCCGCATCGGTGTGATCCTCGGCGTGTCGTTGCAGCGTCTCACGAAATATCCCCATAAAAAAGTTAAAGGAGAACTGATACATGTGGGATAGGCCCTTAAGACTCTTTACAATAAAGAAGGCTTGACTGGAGGTTGTGGCAAACGGCCGGTAGACGTTGCGCTTCGTATCAATCTCCTCCTGCACCGCCTTAGACTTTTCAAGCGCCTCACTTATCTCGGCAGCCTGTGTCTTGATTTCATTGAGAGAGTCAATCAATGTCTTATTCTCCAGCAATGACCCCTTGGAGTTGGCCAGGTCGTTCAACAGCGCCTCCTCCAGGCTCGATAGCTGCAGCTTCAGCTTCTCCTCCTTCTGAAGCACCTCCAGCTTCTCCTTCTCTAGCTCCGGCTGCTCGTGCTGGATGGTTGTCCCCAGAAACTGTCCCTCGAGCCCGCTTAGCGTAATGGAGAAGTTGATTGGAGTCAAGTAGCTCAGCACATCTGGCGGAATTCGAAGGTCCGTGGAAGGTGTCACAAGGTAAAGCTGAAACCCATCACTGTAGTCTACGGTGCGACGATCACCAATTTGAATAACCCGCTTCGAACCTTCCGTTCGCAGCTCCCTGCGAAATAGTGGATACATAAAGGAATCAATGTGGTCCACATCCGTAATAACAAAACTTTTACCAAAGCGAAGGGCCAACTCCAGCGCCGACACAAGATGCTCATCGGAGACGCTGCAAACATCCACGGTGATCCCGCGCCCCTTTAGATTACTTAACAGCCAGCTGACAGCCTGGTCAGAGCTATCAATGATAAGTGGCGTGGTCACCTGCTCCTGCATGATGACAGCATTGTCCATTGAAAGTTCGTCACCGGGGAGCCCTTCTGCCTTATAGCGTAGCTGCATGCTCTCTGGCCGTAGGAAGGTAAAAAAGTTAAAATCCTCGAGTTGTCCTATGCGTTCCTTCCACCCATCCAATGTGCGTCGTCGAACATCCTCCGCCTCGTTGCCCAGGTACAGTACAAACGCCGCCGCGAGCAGGCAACGCTTTGGAAGCAGATATTGGTCAGCTTGAATGGCTTTACTTTGCGTCGCCCATCTGGCATGTTCATTCGCAAGCTTCGAAAGAAGGTCGTGTGCACTCTGGTACAAACGCTCCGCCTGCTCTAAACTCTCTTTTAACCGTTCCGCCTCCGTCGTCTTCTCCCCAAAACTTTTCTTGAGCTCCTCCACGTGTTCCTCCACTCTGGAGAGTTTCACCTCATACTTCTTCTTTTTCTCGTTGCCACTACGCAGGTTAGCTTCGTAGCCCTGAAGCTCATCTCGCATGGGGGCCACCGTCTGAAGCACTTTGCTGTATTCCACCACAGCCTTGAGCCATTCTGCCATGGGTGCGGCAGCTTTTGAGGCGCGGCCAATTACATCGCGCCGGAAGGAGTTCTCGTGAACTTGAATAAAACGCTCCAGCTTCCCACGGGACATCTCGTTCACGTTATTGAGGTCAAGATTGAGAATGTCATTCTTGATGTCGCCGGCGAGGACTTTGCGAATGGCCGCCCAGTTGATTTCCGGCACAGAATTGCCCGCAATAAGAATAACGACCCCCTCCAGTACATCCTGAACGACAGCAGGGGGCTGCTTCATCGACTTCAGCTCGGAGAGGTGTTCCGGGCGAATGGTGCGCACCGAGGAGAGGGCGGCATCCAGCGTTGGTTGAATACTGTTGAGACGTTCCTCGATCACGCGTTTGCGTTCCTCAATAGCGCTCTGCTCCTTCTCCAGGCTCTTCTGAATGTTTTGGATGTTTTTCTTCTGATCCCCGGCCTCCTCCATATTTGCCTGAATCTGCTGCAGAGCCTCGTCCGCCTCCCGCTGCTTGGCCTCCATCTGTATCTTCTTCTCCGCCACGTCCGTAGCAATTTGATCCACATTCTCCTTCGCCTCGTCCAGCTTTGAGACGCCAGAATGCAAACGAGCAAGACCCTCCGCTATGGCACTGCTCTTCTCGTTGAAGATGCGTTGGTATGTGAGACAGAGGATTTTAAAGTGCTGCGGGGAAAACTTCTCTGCAAAGCCGCGGTGGACGTGCACAATCTCTGTTGTAAGGCTAAAGTCTTTCCTGTCCTCACGGGAGTCAAGCGCCTTGTAGACGTCAGGCATCATCAGTCGCGGGATCAACTTAAGGCTGTCGCTGTACCAAGTTCCCATCCAGTAGACGTTGCAGTGGGTGAAAAGGGCAGGATTGGAGCGGCACCGCAGCTCGTAGTTTGGGTTTGTCGGGTCCATCACAACACACACGTGCAGCATGCGGGTAATGCGATCCACAAAGTAGGCGTACGGGCTCATGCCTTCCCCAAGCGCCTCCTCTCGCAGCGGACCAAGTAGAGCGTCCTGCTCCTCCTGTGTAAACAAGCCAGGAATCTCGCCTGACGAGAGCAACGAGTTGACGCATTCCAAGAAGAGCGGGTTATGACTAAAATGGTGATCTTCCAGCAGCAGCACAACATGCTGACACTCAATACCAACCTTACATAGCACGGACTTAAGCTCCGCGTTAAACTGCTTCATCCCGTATTCCCGCGTAATCGACAAGGTCATCACCTCCATACGGAGACTGTAGGCGACCAGGCGAATAATGGCCCTATCGCACATGCCGGAGCGTCCAACAAGCAGCAAATTTCCCCGTTCCTGCGACAACACACGATCCACGCGCGCAATCCAGGCACAGACCTCCGGAATCAGTTGCACATCCAACTCAGTAAACTCTCTAGAGTAAGTCAGAAGCATCTGACCCGCCGAGGTCCTAAGATCTTCCATGCTTGTTGAGAAGAGTTTTTTTACCCTTGACGCGGTGGCATCCATCCAGGAAACGTAGTAAATCGTCTCCTTTTCAGTGATCCCCGATCGGTGTCCAACCAGAAAGAGCAAATTGTCGTAAATCAACTTGGCATACTTTGTCCGCTCCTCAGGGGAAATGAGGCGGTCTACAAAAATGCGACGTCCCTCGTAGCCAATGGCGTCTGGGATATCTACTGAGTTGTAGTTGAGTAAATTCAGCGCCCACGTCGTGACGTCGCGTGGGCTAAAGATGTAATGCGAGGCCATGTCCACCGTACAGCGAGTGGCAGTAATCTCGTAAACCGTTGTCATGATGCGTGCAATATCGGACGCACCTTTTCTAGGCAGCTCAAACTTAAGCCTGTGGCTTTGAATCATAATGTTTAAAAACTCAGTGTAAATGGTCTGCATAGATTCCCGAGAAGGATACGACATGCAAAGCACCGATACAATGGCAAGAAAACGCGGTGCAACGGGATACCGACCCATGCTACCAGGCGGATTCATGCTACCAACAATTTGCACACGCTCGACGGTTATCCACTCCAGATCAGTATCGTAAAAACCACTGTAGAGGATAATTTGCTGCAGCAGGGAATGCAGCTGCACCGTTCCGTACTTGTCAGGCTTGGGCAGATTCATGTCCTTCAACAGTAATACAAGACGTTCCGCATCCTTCGGTCGCAGCACGCGTCCTTGGTTAGTATTAAACATTTGACACGTTTGCTTTAATTTTTGAATGAGGTGAATACCCTCCGTCTGAGCTGAGCAGTTCACCGTCGCCACACGGGTGTTAACGATCCCCGCAAATAAATTGGTAAGCAACATCGTCTTACCACAGCCCTCTGGACCAACAAGGATAAAGGGACGATACACACCAGGACGGAGCGGCTTCGTCCACGCCCGCATGATTTCCATATTGCGCTGACACTCAACAGTGGCAATCATCGGGTGCCGGTAAAGGTCCTCCACCGTGAGGTCAAATGCAGGCTGGAATTCAAAACTTCTGTAGCAGCCATGCTGAGGATCGTAGCAGATGTCCAGAGGATTCTTTACATTCAACGCACGCTCTCCTGTCATGTGGTGAATATCCCTCGCGTACTCACGACGATTCTCCTCGGGAAGGTACGACCCAAGTCCGTAGATGAGCGCCAGGGTAAACTGGGCCTTGTTGCTGCAGTGCTGCAGCTGGCTGAGGCCAGAGGCTACAAGGCCTGTGCGCGTCGTTTCAACGATGAGGTTGCCGGTCGCCACGAGATTATTAATCGCCCTGTAGAAGAACTCGTCTATCCAGCCCCGAAGCTCATTGCGCGACTCCTCGGGTTGCTCCAGGAGCCAGGAAGCAACCATCGTCTTCGGGTTCACATCCTCTTCTGAAAGGTAGATGATGCCCATACGCGAGACCGTAGCCGGGGAGGCAAAAGCAAGGCTGTGTGCCTCAAACAAAAAGTTCACGTTCTCGCCAAACTGAATGCGTACCCCATTTGGCATCGTCAAAAGTTTGTTGTCGTCCAGCACGGAGTTTAGCGATTCCACCCATTCTGGGTCCACATCCCCATCACAGACAATCCACGAACGCACATCATTCTCCTCCTTCACAACTTTCTTTGCCGCCTCTGTGAGAACGCCGTCAAACCACTCACGGGTGTCATTGTCCATGTGGCCCAGCAACTGCGTGCGTGGCATCGCCTTGGGATTCATCACGTACAGCGGGACAGAAACCCCCAGTCGCTGCAACGCTCGTCGAAGCACACGCAGGAGTGTACTCTTCCCACTACCACCAGGGCCAACCAACACAACTCCCATACGCTGCTTCAGAGCCTCGTACAGTTGAAGAATTTTTTGTACCTGCGACTCCACAAGCTGCAACTTTAACTCCTTCACCGACTCCACAATGGCGGGATGCAGATCAGCGTAGTCAATTTCTTTGATAGGGACGCCTGGAAAAACGTCCGCAACAAGATTATTAAAAAGAATCGCATCGTCAAAGGTGAGTTTGGAGAGCGTGTTGACGCGAAGCGATTTAATCAAAATTTCACACTCCTTTTCCAACACCTCCTCCGGGGTTGGCCGCAGTTTGCCTCCAACACGGTCCATCAAGTACTGATGAATCAGGGAACCCCCAAGCCGCATCACGGACTTCATCGCACGGAGACCCCAATCGTAGTGTTGCTGTTGGGACAAGAGACCTGCGGCAAGCTTAAATATTTCCACCGTTCTCTTAGCCAACTCCGTGGCATTCTCAAATCCTTCACTAAATAGTATGGTCTCCATGATGAGTTCGTTGTCGGGAGCACTCATGGCGACAGAGCGAAACAACTGTTTGAGGTTGTCCGGGAGCTTGCTGCGCCCACCGTAACGCTTCCCCGCAGGGTTCATTGTCACAAATATACCAGCATTGGGGTCAACGTCAATGTCACGCCCCAGCAAGTTGCAGCGGGACTCCCCATTCTTGAGAGACTCCTGAATCACCTGAATCATCTGCGACACCGCCGACAGCTGGTCTACCTTCAGCCGGTTAAACTCGTCAAAACAGCCCCAGGCACCACATTTAACCAAGCCTGTGAAAATCCGGCCCATCGATTTAAAATCGATACCCTCATCACAGTTGAATACCAACACTTGCCGTCCCATTGCGTTTCCAAGAGCTTTGACGGACTCCGTTTTACCCGTGCCTGCGGGGCCGTAGGGGTTGCCGCCGTAGCCCAGCTGCATACCCTGTGTCAGGGTCAGGTAGCAGCGGTCAGTTAGGGGTGTGTGTACAAGCTTTGGGGCATTGCCCTGATACTCATAGCTATACTTAAACTCCGCGTCCACCATGCGTAAGACGCACTTGTTCTCGTAATCTAGGTAATACCGCAGTTGTTTCCTCCATAACCAGTCGGTTGCTTTTACAACACCGTTCTGAATGAGCGTTTGCACAACTTCAATGTTGTGAATAAGATCCATAATGAGCGATTTCAATTTTAGACTCATCACCACGTCACTATTGCTACCAGCAAACACAGTTAAGTCACGTAGTTGTGACTGCAGGTTTGCCTTGTGTTTGGCAAGACCACCCGCTCTCGCCTCACGAATAGCCGCTTCTGTCTTTTTAGTGAAGTCAAGCATGGCAGCGGTGCAGAGAATTTGCGTGGGATACGTACCAATGTCCAGCTTTTCCAGGCATCGCACCAACTGTACCCGAAGTGTATCCTTCATCTCAACATCTAATTTACATAGCCACTCCTCCACCTCATCCGTGATGTGCACTGGCTGCTCCAGTGGCACCGTCTCTCCCTCCAGTGAATGAATCTGCAAGATATGCTCCTTCTGAGTGTCAAAACGGACGCTGTGGATACCCATGAAAAGCTTCTTCAGATGCGATTGAATTACAAGCGGGTTGCGGCTTTGGGCAAGAATTTCAAGTAGGTCGTCGTCACTAATAAAGTAAAAGCGAGGGAAACTGTCTCGCTTTGCCTCAAGGTACTGGTTGAGTGCCCGCTGGCAGCGATCGAGTTGCTCTAAAACGTTGCGCAGTACCTCCTTGTGTTCCTTGTGGGATGCTAGAGAGACAAGACGACGGTCCTTCGCAATGGCGCTCATCACCTGCAGGTACTCCTTATCAATGCGCGCGAACCGCTCCTGCTCCTGTGGCAGCGCCCCACGCCGAAAAATAGGTTCCAAATACACCCATTTGCGCTGAATTTGGTTCATGCTGCGAAGGTACTCGTCGAGGCACGCCAATCGCTCCTCCCACTTGTTGGCGTCACTGGCAAAGATGCTAAAGTACGGAGACTCCTTCATACTCAACAGCAACGCCCGGTTGTCGCTGAGGGCGGAGAGCGTGTCCTTCCACTCCGTAATGAGCATCACGCCGGGACGTTCGGGGTGAGGGCATAGCGTAAAGGTGGCATTCGTTCCCCACGATCGTACATCATAGAGGGCCTCTCTAATCTGCGCCTCCCCCTGAGCGCGTGAATGCAGCTCCCTCAGGTCCATCTCACGTTTCACAATCATCTCGTGACAAGACAGGATGTCGCCAAACTTAAGCGTGTCTTGTGTGGCGTTCGGGGTTCCAAGCAGGTGAAACAGCTCCACCCAGTGCCCAGGCGTAAACCCGTCGCCGCGAACAAACTTAAAAAGAAGTGCACAACGGCTCCAGGAGTCAAGAAGCGTACGAATCTGAACGGTGATTAGATTCGTGGGAATTTCTTTTAGTTTTTCATGCCAAACCTTCACAAAGTCGTCAAAGCGGTACAGCTTCGCCTGTAACACAAGCCACGGTTCATCCTGTAATGCCGTCAATTCCTCATGAAAAGCTCCCACCATGCTCCACAACAACGCATATTCCTCAATGTCACGTTTAAGGTCGTGTAGCGGCTCCATATCAGGTTCCTCCAGCTGAAAGTACTTGCACTGCTGCGCGCACTCATTACCTTCTGCCTCCAGCGCCTCCCATTGCTCCTGACGCTCCTTCACAAACGGCAAGGCATTGGGTGAATCCGCCGTTTTTGGTTTAAGCTCATGCCATTGATTGGCAAAGCGTTCCAGTTTCTTCTGCCACGTCTTGGCCGACTCCTCAACCACGCTCCTCAGACGGTTCATCTGCTCCTCTAACTCACTCTCGTAGGTGTCGAGGCGACGCATCACACCGTCCCACCGCTCCCGCGTGTTAGCAAACTCAAGACCTGCATGATTGCTCATGCTTTGCAGCAGCACGTTTTTGTTGTAGAAGTGGTAGAATTCAACCTCCATCGCCGGCCGCTGTTCTGCCAGGTAAACGTGGCGAGCATTGGCCGCACCAATTTCATCCATCTTCGTCAGCTTGGAGTCTAACGACTCCGACACCGCATCCAGATAGACTTCAATTCGATGCAGGTGTTTCTCGGCGCTGCGCCGAAGCGTGACACGCAGCACCTCAGCAAGTTTGTACAGATGATCTTCAACGGTGCTCTTAATACCTGCTGTACAGAGTGTGATGCAACCACACTTAATAAAGAGGTCCTCTGCGTTGATTTCCTTGCCCTTTTGCTTAAGCAAGCGTATCCCTTGTTCCCAGTGCTGCACCTCAGTCAAGGCCATCCCAACAATCGTCTCAAGAGATGGATTTCCATCTTTCCCACATTGCCCAATGACTAGTAAAGGGTTGAAGCGTTTCAATTCCTGTTGAATCTTCTTAAAAAGCTGTGCGGCGTGCTGCATGACAGCAACGATACCACGCTCGTTGCGTGCTGGCATCTCTTTAAAAAAAAAGTTTTCACCGCACCCCCGAAATCGCAGCGGAAATGTCATAAAATCCTTGATGCGTTGATAGTACTGTCCACGGATAGCCTCCAGCGAGGGTCGCAGTGCGGCCAAACCCGTCTCTTGATCATACACAATGTCAGCCTTAATCTCGGTCACAAATTCGTGTAGGCTTTCCAGCCCCAGCTGATACTGGTACTCCATGGCCTTGTAGAGCTGCGCGTCCCAAAAGAGCTTCCACGCCTCCATGTTTTTAAATCCAGACGCCTCCATTTTCTCCCGAATGACGTGAACCTTTCCCATCCACCGCTCACGTGAACGCAGTAGGTCCACGCTGAAGAGCTCCACCACAATAAACTCAATCTCCTTGTGCAGGCGATGCAGACGACGGTTGTCATCAGTTAGCGATTGGGACGCCCTCGACAGTTTCTCAATGAATCGATCCGCGTCTTCTTTGTTTCGCCACGTCAACTGACGATCTCCGCTCGCGGTGATGATGTTCTCAAAGGTCAAAGCCGGTTCCAACAGCATGGCACGCGTACAGGGAATAATGTCATTCGTCATGGAATTGTAGGTGCTGGCAATTTGCTTCAACAACACGCCATTTCGGTAAAAACGAACGCCCTGATCCACCATTTTCTGAATTTCACGACTAATGCGAAGGCCCAGGCCCCGAAAGATGCGTACCTCTCTAATAAGCTGCACCAGCCGTTCGGGGTAATTCACCTCCACACGACCATTCCCATCAATCTCCATCAGTGGTGCGTTGGCATCCAGCATGAGGGTGTGACTGTGGTCCTCCACATCCATCGTCCAGTGTTTACGCAGCTCCGTTTCGTAGTCGCTAACCTCCTCTAGCAGGGTGGCTGCCGCCTGGACAAATTCCTTGGCATTCTGAAGGTCCAGAAGCAGTGACTTGCACATGTTAATCATCTCCTCCACGCGGCCCCGGAGCTGACGGAGCCAAATCATATTGTTCACCACACCCGGCATAAAACGTCCGGTCTGGCAACGACGGTCCTCCTCCTCAAGGAAGGAGTCATCTTCAGTGTTCTCTGCGCGGTGCTCAAACTCCAGACGAATGCTCTCTAGCCGATCATTCAACTTTGCCAAGAGCGCCTCTCGCTCACTCACAAGCTCCTTCGCCACAATATGACGCCGAATAAGCTGACGGAACTTCACCACCTCGTTGAGAATTGTCTGCGGGGCCAAGTTGCCGCGCTCGCCAAAAAAGTCGCGTAGGGCGGCGGCGCATCGGTGCTCAATGGGCTCCAGACGCCTGTAAAATGCGTTCAGGCCGGCATCCCACTGCTCCTCCACCGCGGGCGTTGTTTTAAAAACATCAATGTTCCCCATCACCTCCCACAGCGTCTCCCTGCGCAAAGACTGTGGCTCTCCAGATGTAATCAGCAACTCCATAATCTCGTCAACCAAGTCACGAAGAGAGGCGACGACACGCAGCCGGTCGCGCACAATTCGAAGCTGCGGATCCTCAAAGTGGCCACCCCACACTGCGCCCCAGTCAATGGTGGTTAACTTATGGCACATGTTCACCCAATCATCACAGCAGCTTAAAGCCATCTCTGTGACACCTTTGCTACTGCTAAAGATACCTCCCGCCGCGATGGTCTTCTTGGAAAAGTACTCGCGTAGCCCAGAGCCAACCGTCGTCATCAAAAAGATGGTCTGCGAACGAGCCCGAGTGTCTTGTGCACTGTCGGTCCAAAAGTCATTTATTGCCAGCTGTGCGTCCTCCAGCAAGTCTACAACGTGGTTTGGCTCAAGCTGCTCAAGCTCGCCCCACGACTTCGGCAGGACGGTGTTAGCAAAGGAGGAAGTACACATTGAGCCCAGAACCTCGTCAATGTTATTAACGTACACGCGAAGCTTCATCACATTGTCCTCATCTGAGGCGAGGGAGAAAAGCACGTAGCCCGCAATAACAACATCCCGCCGCAGTCCACCTTTGGTGGTCAAACATTTGGGAAACTCCGTCACCGCATAGGCCTGAGCATCGGAGTGCTTCAGCAGGTAGCGAAAGTATGTGGCCTCCGCCACCGCAGTTATTGCGGAGCTGTCGTCCGGCAGCTCTTCAAACCTAAAGTTGTGCACGCGCACCACATCTACAAAGCGGACCGGTTGAAGTTCCCTCCTGGAATCGACGAGGACGTCAACTGCCCCAACCTTCGTCGTCCCCTGCTCTGATCCGCAAGCCGCCCGCACCAACTCCTTGAAGAGAGAAGCCGATACCTCACCCAGTTGATCTTTGCTCGCAGCAAAGGTGAACTCTACTGTCCGGTCAGAGATTTCTGCACGGTCCACTGTAATCCCCAGCCGTCCCCTCAGTGCCTTCTCCGTGACAGTGACGCAGTCCTCGGCCACCGCCGAGTTGAATCGACCCATCGTCACCGCAAGGGTTTTCCCTTTCTACAAAAGCAGCAACAAAAATAAAAACTTTACGCTATTGTCAGATGTAGTTGAGTTTGTTTCCTGCAATTTCTCTCTCACTACCCCCACCCCCTCCCCCTCCTTCCTTTTGTTTCGTTTTTTGTCTCTGTTTCCCTTCGCTTTTTTATTCCGTTTTTTTTTCCTCCCCCGCTTTCGATTCCTTCTTCTTTTTGTGTGGCTTCGCCCCAGACTTTCGGGCCTCCGCAAGGAGTGGGAGAAAGCGCAAAAGCTTGGGGCACGTGCAGCAAATCGGCGAGAATATGCAACAGCTTTGCACGACACACATGCGTTGGCAGATGCCCTTAGCGGAGTGCCTGTACTGTAATGAGGGGAGTGGGGCGTGCGCCTGCGGGAGTCTGTTGCTGCACACACGTACACACGGCAAACATAAGATGTTAAATCGCAACCGCTAGAAGGATGTCAGGAAAAACAGAGCAAAAAAAAAACAAACAACAACAACAACAAAACAAAAAAGAAGCGTTCCCCGACCTCTCCCAGTCAAGGAGTTAGGCTTCTCCACCACTGTCCACCCAAAGACTTCTCTGTCACGTCAAGCTTCACGTGCACCTACTATGTTCGTGGCGCGGCAGAACTCGGCTCCATCATATGCACAACAGCACCCAGGAGCGTCGCCGCACAGCGCGCCATTCCAATGTGTTGGCACCGCACAACATGCAGCAGACTGTCATCGGGCGAGCGCAGCAGCCAAAACAGAAGCGGGAGTCCCACGACTTCCCGGGCAATCGTGCTCTCGTAGACAGACGACACCTGCCGCCGCCTCAGCAGGGTTGGTAGGTCAACACCAAACAATGCCTCCCCAATCTGCGCAAAGCCAACCGCAGACACCGCACACAGGCCGTCCGATAACTCCAGTCGCACAAAAAAGCGCTCCTCGATCGTGCACCCACCACACGCAGCACACGAAAGAACGTTTCCGTGCATCTGCCTACTGCAACCTCGACAAGCCATGTACGTCAAAGGAAGTCGTACTCGTTGTATTTTGGCCAACACTGGCAGCGTCTCGGAGGCCTCGTGTAGGTCAAGCACCACCTGCAGTGCATCATTCTCGTCACGGTTCAGAGGCATCATTGTCTCTGTGCGGTCCACAGAGAACAAAGGCGCCTGCGACTTTGGTTCCATCTTAATAGCTCCGCTTCCGGACCTACTAGAAAGCGTGAGCCGTCGCATAAACTCGCCAACGACAAACCCACATAGACACCACCGCTCACCCACAGCTGGTGTGACGCTCCGCGAAAACTCATCCCAGAGAGTCACCTCGATGAGACATGAAGAAACCGAGGACACGGTATCCTGCAGCGTGATAGCTGAGCGCTCCACACGTCCCCGTTTTGTGTTTACCAGCGTCGTGGGAGACACTGCCACCACCACCCCCTCCACAGTGGCAATGTCACCAATGTTGCTATGTTGGGTAGCATGTGTCACCGATCTCGCACCAAACATCCGTGAGGGGTGGGCCGGAATAGTGTCCCCCGCCTCCGCCCCACACAACACGCCAAATGAGCGCTCGCTGAATTGCAGTCGCAGCGCATCTTTGGCCTCACCACAATTTGTCAGACACGCATTTGTCACGCAGACACAGTCCCCCACTGAAAACATGTCGTTCAGAGCAGCATGTCCCGTGCAAGAAATACACATGGCATCACCATTGCTGTCCACACCTATGCAATCAAATATAAACCGCGTCGCTAAACCAATTGCCGGAAGTTGTCGCCGCTTTCCTTTCCATATCACGCGCAGAGTTAAGGTGTAGTCACCTAATTCGTGTCCTTTGGCCTCGACAAGGTCGATAAGGCTCAGCTTCGGATACTCCTCAACGGCGCGGGAAGTGCAGGGTTTTACATTTCCCCGTCGCTTAGTAAGCGCCTCGCTTGACAGGTGAAAAAGTGTCGCGTCAAAGGTTGGGTTCCCCAGCAGGGACAGCTCCGTCCCTGAGTAACTGATCGAAAGAGGCACGACCACGTTTAGTCCATTCTTTGCTGCCACAACGCTATACTCATTCAGCGTGACACAGCAACCCACCTCAATTTGAAAGGTGTCAACCAGTTCCTCCATTTCACTTCCAGGGGGAATAACAAGCCAAATGAGTGAAGCAGAGTCGGATGCGGCGAGGTAGAAGCGCGACACCGCAAATGAATCTGCTACAAACTTTGGATACCGCTGAATGTCCACCACTTGCACCCTGGGTGAGGACCAGCGCAAGGCCCAGCTCCCCCCTTCCCCGTGCGGGAGGCCACCTACCATAGCACACGCACAAAATCCCCTTGACAAGGCGTCCATCCAATATATATATATATATGCCAGCTTTTTACTTACTTTTTTGTGTTCCAGAGGAAGGTCGGACCTCGCGCCGTCTCTCCCTCTCAGGTCAGCTGTTTGTCGGTCGCCTCTGCACGAACAAAAAAAAAACAGGAGCAGAATCCAAATTAAGAAACAGAAATGAGTTAAGAAGAAGAATCAAACATGTGCGTCCGGGTGTCCCCCCTTCTATGACAACGTATTGTTTTCCCCCTTTTCCTTCTTAGAATAAATGAGAATACCGAGCTTTTGTTCCGTTATCCCATGAAAAAAAAAGTATCTTCGACTGCCCCCTCTTCGCCTTTGCGCCTACTTGACTGTAGGCATTTGTGTGATTCAAGCACCCTCACGTCACAAACACAAGGACAAACAAACAAACAAACAAAAAAAGGCAGACCTGTTATCTCCCGCCTCTCACGCCATCTATGGGCCACGGCTGCGGTTCAATGAAGCTAGCAACCGGAGAAAGGTCTGGTCACGTCCTGCCCTGGTACAAGTCGGGGCGGTAGAGTGAGGGAGAGGAGAGCGACAGTTTGCCAAGAAGTTCTCTCAGCAACGGTGAAGGCTCACGTCGCGGTTGCTCTTCATAATGCAGTGTCATGCCACCCCCTCTCAACACGGGCGTTTGGGAAAAGACATCTACTTCCGCATCCGGGGAGGCTCGCGTGGAGGCGTGAAACACGTCGTCCGGCTCCTCCTCTTGGCGGATATACGGGGCGTGGGATGGCTGACATGGTTGAGGGGAATCGATGGGGTACGCCACCATCGGCCGCGTTGTGGACCTTCGCGGACTCGGATGCCGCGATGTCACACTACTCCGTGGGGACACTTCCTTCTCAGTATAAAATGACTGTTCCCGGCACGGTGCATTTTGGTTGTACTCCTCCGCCTGCTGCCCCATCGCGTTTCGGTAGGCTCTTGTTGGTTCTAGCACGGGTCGCCGGGATGGTTTCAAGGCCTTGATCTCCTTACTTGGCTGGACACCACGGTAGCGGCCAAACCTCGGCGTAGAAGCGTTTGCATGATCCGTGAAAAAAGACTCGGTATGTCTTCTTCGCAGCGTCATCGACCGTGTCGTTGCGACTAAGTTGGGCCTTGGCACCTCCTGTCGTCGGTTGTGTGTACTGATGCTACGCAACGGCCGTTGGTGCCACCGCGCAGGTGTCGTAAGCGGCGCCTCACTGCAGGCCCTCACCGAAAGCGCGAGTGCGTCCTTGTACGCCCGAAGTGCGCCAGCGGGCGTTTTCCGCACATTTGGAGAGGGTGGTGGAGGACGATGAATGTACTCTCTAAGAACGCTGCGCGCCTCATGGTAGGTGACACCGTTTGTCCTCAAACGTCGCTGCCGCCGAAGGCACGCAGACCCCGTCCAGGAGTTCCCCCGCCCCTGCTGTGCCCCAGCGACCACCTCGCGCAACTCCCTGCGGTACTGCTGCAGCGCTGTCAAATCCTGGCGGGGCGGGGCGTCGCTGTGGTGACTACCGTCGCCTTTCAGGTCCTGAGGGGCAAGGTGAGACGGTGGTGATGCCTCGGCATTTCGCGTTCGTTCCGCCCTCGCAGCCGCTGCTAAGAGACGTCGTTGCCGCTCTTGACGCATGTGCAAGCGCCACGCCTCTAGCTCCCGCTGGATTCTCCCCTCAGCGTCCTCATTCTCGCTTTCTTTTTCCTTCGCTCCCACAATGTCTTCACTGGGGGATGGCCGCTTCGGCCTAACAAAGTCATACGGCATGGCTGCCGTGGTTCCCTTCACCGCGACTCTACCTGGCAGCGGACGAACGTACCCTCGCGCCCGCGTTGGCCCTTCGTTGCGTTTCCCCCCTCCCAGCCGCTTCTACACACCCAGCGACGCGGGCCTACAGCAGGTACACCAGATGAAACCAAAACAATCCACAAGAAAAGCAAACAGACAAAACAGAAAAAAAAAAGTTGCCGTCTCCAACCACACAAGGCGAAAAAGATCAAAAAGAGGAGCCTCACAGTTGTTTGAACGGAGTAAGTGACTGCCAAAAAAGAAAAAAGTTTGTATTTTTGTTGTTGTTTTTTTTTCCATTCTGTTCTCCTTCTATTTTTATTATTACTTTGTTTATTCTCGCGCCCTCCACGGGAAAAAAGCACACACACACACGCACACACAATAAAAGAGAACTTTTCACCGTAATGTTTTCATCTCTCTAGTTATTCATCTCCTTCCATGGCACGGTGTGACTACACACAACATCCGTTTGATTGTGTCCTTTCTGCTTTCGCCCTCGTGGTGCGCGTATTTCTCTCTTCCTCTTCCTCTTCCTCTTCATCCGCTGCTACTTCCAAAGGAGATTGAGGGCCCTCCGCCGAACAAGATAGCGTGCCGCACAGGTGAGAACGCCAAAGCCGCATGTCAGCGTTATTAGGAGGTTCTTGTTAAAGTCGCTATTGAGGAGGTCAAACGCCTTCCCCGAGGAGGTGCGCACGTAGAAGATGTCCAGCCCGGACACCAGCACGTGACAGGAGCTCTCCAGATTGGTGGGTGTGGTGGTAATCAGCCTTGGCTTCGCCACCCGGTACTTGTGCGATGCCAAAGCCGTGCTCGGGATGAAGACATGTGTGAGTTGCTTGCCATTGTCATCAAGAGGCATCTGTCCACCCGCCAGCAGCTTACTCAGCTCCACTGTGGCGATACGACCAGAATCAAAGGCGAGCACAATGCTTTTGCCAGCAATGCCGTTGAAGGACGTTGTTACACCCATCGTGGCAAGGTTACCGCCGTACACGCCGAGGACGGCAACCGTCACAGTGGGTGGACGAGTGGCACGCGAACTGAACGTCCTTTTAAAGCGGAAAAAGGAGGCAATGATCTGCGGTATGGTGGCACCAGCATCCTTGCGAAGTACTTGACCAAACTCCTCCTCAAACATTTCCCACACACCAAGGCAGTGTCGAAGCTTCACCATGTCCATGTAGTAGTACAAGACAGCATTTTCCACGACAACCATGTGTACAGGACCCTCCACGTTGCGGTGACGCACAGTTGCCAGTACACTGCCGGTGACGGAATCAATAGCAGTGAGAACAAGCGTTGTCAACTCCTTCTCTGATGGTTCGTAGTGGGCAACAACGATAACATTGCGTGTGGGATACTTCCGACGGACCTCATCTGTCTTGCTAGTCTTGTTTGGAAACACGCGTAGTTGATTCACCGTCGTCGTACGGAGCACATCCTCCCCAGTGGCGTAGGCAACCAACGGATACGGCATGCGCACGGTCCAGAGCGGAAGCACCTTGGAAGTGGCGGAAACCACGTATCCCTCGATAAGGCCACTGGTGACGTTGGATGTAAAGAGGTACATATCTTTGGACGGGACGCTGCCATGCAGCTCCAACGAACGCGTGATCGCAAATGCTGGTGAAACAACCAGGGAATTTTCATATACCTTGAGCTCCTTTACAGCCCCGGTGATGACATCAAGAGCAAGACTCATGCGCCTCACTGAAGAAGCAGCGATGACGCTGAGAACATTTTCTCCTGAGAGAACCAGTTGCTCAATCCTTACAGACTTCATGGAACGTGCAGCCGTGTTCGCTACCAGCACACTGGAGATATCTGCTAGTACACGGATATTGTGCCCCATTTCCCCAACAGGGATGACGTAGACAACACCATAAGTCGAGACTGCCAATGCCACCTTGTTAAATGAAAAGTGATCTTCATGTATTGGGTTGTCGGCGATGATGGTGGCAGCGAGATACGCCAGCCCCTCTGTACGCTCCCACAGCAGCTTGCCAAGTTTCTCCGACACCGCAAGAAGGTGCCCATTGGCAGTTCGAAGAATAGCCTGTGCACCGTGCTCCTCATCCCTTATGGCCAGAAGTACTGTTGGGGGATGCCCTGGGGTGAAGTTGTACGCAATGCGGACACTCGAGCCCGGGAAGGTGACCGTGAAACCAAGCTTGTCAGTCGTTGTTTTCACGGTGCCCTCAAAGGTCCCAGTGGCACCAAGCAGCAACCCAGCTTCGCACCCGTCACAGGCAACGGTTTCCGCCTCTCCAGAGTTCCGCACGACGGTCATCTTTGTGGCAGAAAGCACAGCCGCATCCCCGGAGACCGCAACGGCGCCACCGTAAACGTCACCCTCCACGTCCGCCACCTCGACGTCCCCTGTAAGTGAGTAGCGGTTGGCGCCCGCTGGTCGAAGTGCCCATATGTGATTACCGCTGATGCGAAGCCCATGCACGTCCTCCCCAATGGAAAAGCTACCGCTGGGCATGAGCACCTCATCCTCCGTCGCTGGCCAAAACTGGAACAGATAGGCGGTTGCCTTGTCCATGGCAGCAACCCGCACACTTCCTTCCACGATGGCGCAGGATTCCACAGTGGCGCCAGCGGGCAAGGACAGCTTAAATGTGGTCTCAATATCCCCAGCAGCGGCGTTAAGGAGATAAATCGTGCCTGTGCGAGAGGACACCAGCACGCCATGCCTGCCCGCCGTGACGCACACCTGCGGCTCGGAGAACAGCCTCCTCCACTGCAGGCTTCCGTCGCTGAGCGACAAGGCCGCAACGGCTCCCAGGTTGGAGGCCGCATACATGTAATTCGGCTCCAGACGGGGTTGGTAGGACGCGTGGTCTACGTGACCGACAAAGCGCAGGATCCAGTCCCTAAGCCCCTGCTCATCCTCGTGAATGGCCTTTGACGTCTGGACGACGACGCAGAGGAAAACAATTAGTAACAAGAGCGGAGTAAGCGGCCTCATATTCCACACGCCAGCAGACACACACACCCACACACTCACAGCCTATATCTCTCTGTTCTTCCCTTCTCTTCTTCTTCCCTTTTATAAGCTGTGGTGAAGACGATTGCCACAAAAAAAAAAACAATAATAATAATAATAATAATAATAATGGTTTTTGCTCTTTTTTTTTCTGTGCCGTTCTACTAAAAAACACACAAACAGACAAACAGACACGCAAGAAATTATTCAAAAAGAAGGAGTAAGTCAAATGGTAGCAAATGCACGAAGCTTGCAAGCACGCACGCGTGCAGCGACAGGAACAGCATGGAAGCGTCACAGTAGGTGTGCAACGCAACACCCCTTGGCAGCGGAGCTGTGAAACACACAGAATGATGAAATCATTAGTAACACAATTCTCCCCTCAAATTAGCCTGTACCGTGAACGCAATATAAGACTCACACCAGCACTGTCACCGTCCTTTTCTCTCTCGGCAAGAGCGGTGCCACGTTTTATTCCCCCTGCACTCCCTCCTTCTCTTCCCCTTCGACGCTGCCAAGCATTTCAAGCGCCTCAAGAAAGGTGCATACAAAGGTGCTGCCCTGTGCGTACAGACCGGCAATTCCCGCACTCCTATCTCCCTTAAATTGAAGAAACATTGCACGGGGAAAACGTTTCAGGAAGCGGTCCTTTGCCTCCTGTGGAAACGCTTCATTGCCGCAGTGAATAACGGTGACCCGTTTCTCGAAGGCAATACCCTCAGCGATATCAGTGGCCCCCGTACATGGCCCATGCAACTTAAGGAGCTCCTCGCTGAAGCGAAACCGCAGTCCACCGTCGTGCCGTTCCGCAGCAGCAAAGATCAACGCTCGTTCAACGGCATTTGGCACCTTTTTCCGCAGGTACTGCTCCAGTTCCTCCAGCGAGCGGGCTCCCCGCGGTACTCCCTGCAAGATGGAAGGCAGTTGGTAGTGGGAAGGGTCACACGAAAGCAACTGCGAGGGTCCATTCACAAAAAGTGTTAAGGAATCAAAGCTCAACAGCGGCGAGTGCAGCGCGGCCTGACACGCCACAAGGGCACCAAAGCCAAGGCCCACTAACTTTGCATCCGTCCGCAGAATTTGCTTCTGGTGTAACACAACATCAGCGGCGGATGCCAGGGTGTAGTTATCCCCTTCGGTTGGACACGGTAGAGCCACGGAATGGTTGTGCCCTCTTAGCTCCACAGCGTACAACTCCAACGGTGTCGTGGGAGACAACTGCGACATTGGCAGCCTGCTGAGGTTCTCGTTGAGCAGCTGCTGCCAGGAGACGGCGGAGCCGAACAAATCGTGCACAAGAATGGCTTTACTGCTCGGTCGGGAATCCAAATGCCAGCGGAAGGCGGACAGGACGTAGTTTAGCGGGAGAGGTGGCTCACTTATGGGAAGCGCCCGTACTGGCGAGCCGCCCGAGAAGATATGACGAACCAGGTTCATCTTAAACTACTCGATGTAAACTAACGTTACGAGAGGTCATGCAGGGAAAAAGCGGTGATAAATGATCATAACAATACTAACGAAGAAGTTGAACTTTTCTTCCCCTCCCCCCCCCCCCGCTCACAAAATAATAATAATAACAAACACCACTCGTGTTTGCATAAAGTGTATTGTGCATTCATTAGCATACCTGCAGCTGCGGCGTCACAAAAACAACTAAATAAATAACCAACAAAACAAAAAAAAACATCACATAAATACATATATACACGCGGTGTTCATTGTTTGCATGTATCCATTTACGCACGTCCTCTTTACCTGAAGCTTCACGCAAACCGTCAATATGGTGCACTGCGTGGGATATATGTATGTACATGTATCTATCTAAGCATGGGCCTTAGTAGACACAGTAAACAATTGTTTCTTTTTTTTTTTTCTGTTTTGTTTTTTTGGGAGGCAAAAGTAAAAATATTGATGACAATGCAACCACAACAACTAAAGCATATAGCAATAACAATAATAACAATAATATGTATATATGTATATATGTATGTATGCATGTGTGTATGCATGTATGTATGTATTAGATTCAGTAAACCCCCGTACAACTGTCACTACATCGCCTCTGACTATGTTATTGCCACTCCTGGTACGTGGAGTTAGAGACGTATATACCGCTAACTGGCACCGCGCTCCCCCCCCCCCCCTACCCCTACCCCCTACCCCTACCCCTACCCCCCTTTGTTTACCGTATGCGCTCACACACACACACACCTCACCCTAAACCCCCGACTCCGCTGCTGCGTATGCATAGCCATGTCAGCTGAAACGCTAATCCACGTGGGCCCTGCTTAGGGGAAGTAAAGCACCCGGAAGTCGCAGGCACAGGTGGCACCGTCCCCTTCGTCAACGTGCAGCTCAAATTTTTATGACTTCCCCTCTCTTCCCTCATCCTCGCTTTTCCCTCGCCGCTCTGCCTCCAGCCCTCAGCGACACAATGCACCTGCATAAAAATAAAAAGTGTGTTAGCCCCCAACCACCTTCACGAAATTCCCAGGTGTAGAGGAACTTTTCTTCGCATTCGCTGCGGACACCCCCCGCACATCCTCCGGTGGAAGCGAAAAGGCAGGTGTTAGCATCGCGTTGGCCACCGAGAGTCGCTTATCCCACTCCTCGTCAGACATTATCACCGTCATCACCTTTCCGAACTTGCGCGACACCTCCAGAAGCGAGTTCCGCAAAAGCACCCGATAAAAGCCGTTGTACTCATCTGTAAACCGTGCTGTTCCCTTCGACAGTTTCTGCTTCACCTGTTCAAGCCGTTCAAACTTGTCCGCGCTCGGTTTTTTCTCCGTTGCCCGTGTGAGAGACTGCACCTCGGCACTCAATTCCTTGAAGCGTTTGATCACGTGCACGCAGCGAGTCGCATAGCTGGAGAGAAACCACAGCATGTCCTCCACCTCCGTCAACGTGGTGACCCCGGCTGAACGACTCACGTACATGCAGTAAGACTCTATTTGAGCTGTGAGCTCTTGCAACGCAAATATCGCTGGATCACTTATTCCAGACGAGGGATAATTCAACTCCTCCAGCCGCACTGTTGTCAACTCTCCATTTTGGCCGTCCCACTCTACTACAGCGTTGTCGTCGTTTACGCTTCGCACCACGCCTTCCATCTCGGGATGCTGGGCATGCTGGACCAGGTGGCCGCAGTAGCAGGCTGTCCACGGCAAAGGCGACCCCTGCATGGATTTACGCAATTCATTCACGTCACTCCACTGACGGAGTTCACTGACACAGTACTTCGTGATGTGCTCCACCTGCGCAAAGCACGTGTGTAGGAGATCGGCCAGGTCACTCTGCCGCGTTTCGATGACGGCAAGGGGAGACTCCGCCACGTCATCGTGATCGCTCGGCTCACCAATTGAGCGCAGCTTTGAAATCAGATTGAGTCCTTTCGATTTCACGGTGGAAAAAAAAGACTTTTTGTACTGCTTCTGTCGTTCATCGCGAAACATGCGCCATGCGAGTTCGTCAAACGTGGCAAAGGCTTTCAGCAGCGGCGACTCATGAAGCTCGTGCAGACACGAGATGGCGTTGAGGGCTAACTGTAGCTGCCGCATGCGTTTCTTCACAAGAGGATTTTCCGTGGAGGCGCCGTTCTCCTTCGGGTTGGACAGCAGTTCCGTAAACTTGTCCATCGTCCCGTCCGTCTCCTTCGGTGGGATCGGCGGGAACAGCACACCGGGGAACTCCAACTCCATCTGCGTCGCCAGCCACTCGAAGTCTGAGTAGCGGTGCCACGTACAAAAGTCGATGTAACCGGCGCCTCGGGTAAAGTTTTGCGCGGCGTGGTTCGAGGGCAGCAGCGGGAAATTCTGGTAGCTCGCCAAAAAACTTCGCGCCAGGATCTTGTACGACCAGTGCGAGAGGTGCTGCAGCCGGCCGTTCTCCGTATACATGCGCTCCGCATCAGCAACAAGAAACTCCATCGCGGCAGCGCGCTCTCTGCAACTGAAACTACGCTTGCTACTAGAAAATGAAAAAAAAAAAAACGGACTACTGCAAAGCGTTTGAATGTTGATGTTATTGTTTTTTATTCCCCTTTAAGTGAGTATCATCCAAACCCATTAGAGACGCACAGACAGACAAGAAAAAGAAAAAGAAAAAAAAAGACGAATAAAC